TTGGACATTTCAAAGTTTAAATTATAAAGTTTAATATTGTAAAATAGGTTACTTGCCTAAAAGAGTTCTCTCTTGATTTAAGGAACATGAAACAACTTTAACTTTCTTTTCATATATGTAAATAACCTAATAAATAAATAGAATAAAATGTATAAGTCTTTGACTCAGAAGGAGAAATATCAAAAAGGAAAGATTTGAAAAGTAAAGGTATATTCTTATTTTCTGTATGGTTAGTCCACTCTCCTATGTGATAATCTTAATAAGTGTCTAATGGTTAGGAAACTGTATGCAAAATGTTAATGACAGCACAGCTGCTTTAACTTGAAGCCCACATTTCATGCATCTTTTAATATGCAGTAAAAAAAAGTCTAGAAAATTGATTTCAGAAAATTCAACTTGACATTATTCAGTTGATAATTAATAATTTGCAAGCAAAGATTAGTTAGTCGATTTAAAGTAGCAAGTAGTAAACAATTTAGGCTATTTATTTTGCAGTTCAAAGAAAAACCATATTCTCAACAAACAAAATCTTGCTATTGAAACTATTTTGAGCTTACACTGTGTTTCTGGGCTTCAGGCTCGTACATTCCAAATATGGTAGCTGATGTATTAGCCTGAAATTTAGCCATTTGTAAGTAGAAAAAAATCATAAGCATAATGAGTATAAGTATAAGCATAAGTAAATCAATTTACTCAGCATTTACAAATATTGGAACCATAATTTATATCAATTATTTTTTTATAAATTATGGTTCCAATATTTGTAAATGCTGAGTAAATTGATTTTTACCGTTTTTCTTAAATCTTCAAAAATTATGTATTAAAGTGATTAACTTTTTGCAATTATTAATTGCATATTAACTATTTATTTTATCCACCAAAAAAAGGAAAATACCTTAATGACATCATTCCACACAAAAAGAACTGTACCACCTTTCTCTTGGTTAATAATGCGTGGTGTAATTATGGATTCTGAAACATAAATTCAATCCTGTTTAAAGAAAATCAAATTTTGTGTGTTAGGAAAAAGTAATAGTAATATACAACAATTTTTCTTAAATTCGATTTCAAATGATTCATATTCATCTTATTTTTGGTTCAAACAGACTTATTTGAGTTTTTTTTTAATGAAATCATTGCATTATATTTCAAAATTCTACTTCTGTGTAAATTCAGGACTCACTATATTTTGCATTTAATAAATACAAATTTAAATATTATGTTATTTAAAAGCACTTTTAGGCTCTTGTGTCTGTTACCTTTACATTGTGGCTAGCAAAGTTTATTACAGTAGTTTTCCTATACATTTTTCTCCACTGCCATTTTGAAAGGTAAATAATATAGATAGGCATCTCCTATATAAGGAATATGACCCCCTTCATTCCAACAATTGAATCATGATTTAAGCTTTTCCAAATGTCATTTCATCTTATGTTTGTTGTGCCTCATGTATGAAGAAACAAACAAATTATTCTAGTACATACTAGATATATGTTAAGCACTTGTTAATGGATATGAGCTTTTGTCCTGATATGCTAGTGACTTTCCAGCACTAGAAAAAAAATTGAGCAGAACATTTAAGACATTACTTTTTAAGTCTGGTCATGGTACTTATGACCAGGTTGCTGGACGTCAATATCCCTAATCCCTGGTTTGCTTAGCTGATCCCAGCATCCATTTTTCATCACCTTTCTCCCTAGGTACTCATACTCTGTAACAAATTTCATTGGGGTATTGGTCAAAGTGATTGTCTCCTCCATCCTGAATTTTTCTCTCATGATCCATTTTTCTTGTGTAGACTTAAAGGTCTATGGAACTAGCAGTTTCAGCAATTTTCTTTAGCTAGGTATTTAGTTACTTTAAAGATGGGAATGCTATGCCAATGACATAGTCAAGATACTCAAGCAACAAGGTCAGCATCTTTTGTAACCACTGCCTCTTTCCTTGTGTGTTTTGTCGCATGTGCCATTCAATAGCTAGTGGGACAAGAATCAATGAGAGAATGCTCCCCTGCTTTGCTCCAGTCTCAACTTTGAAAGGTTCAGTCAGGTCACGATGAGAACTCTAAATTTAAAGTTTCATAATTTAATAGGAATACCGGTAGTCTAGAACAGTGTTTCCCAAACTTTATAATTTAGCAGACCTGTGGACAAGTTTTGAAATTGCACCAGTGATGGATTAATTAATTATATTTACTATTTTGTTTAAAATAAATATTCATGTATTGTGGACTGAAAATGTAAGACTCACAGACAACATTTGGGGATAGTATATGTAATTTTTATGTTATCATAGGGCCTGCTAGCTGCACGGTACAATAGTGTTATGAAATGCTGTAACAATAGTGTGACGATACATCAAGATCAAGTGCTTCCACCATGTCTCTGTTTTACATTATGTTTCCCTGGTCCACTCATAACATTTCCCTCTTCTGCTCATTGCAACAACACGTGACATACTTGGACATTGGTCCCTCTCAAATGTTAATGTAATTCTATTATGTAGCTGAGTCTCACCCTTCGCATCTATTGCCAGATCGCTATTTCCCTGATCAGCTGCTTATGATGACCAAGTCATTCTTCGATACATTAACTTATGGAGAAACACCAGCATATCGAGAGCGGCAAGGTCTCCATGTTTCTGTTTAGGAAGGTGCAAGCAGCAATGTTGTCACAGAGTGCATTGATTTACGGTGGCTCTTATGGGGAGATTTTTGATTGTTCATGGAGCATAACCTGCATGGTGTGTGTCCGCTGCAGTGACCAGAAAGCTGCACGCAGCACAAGTGAACCCATGGACGAGTTAACATACAGATAAACAACTGAACCCATGGACAAATGGAAAAAATCTAATATGTTCATTCCCCTAACCAAGCATGTGCTGAGCCCCAACCATGAAGGGAGCTGCATCCAAAATTGGCATCCAATGATGCCGGATCTAATTCCAGCATTAGATTATGGAAAATTTGACCAGTTTAGCCAGTTTGCTCAGCTGCTGACTGGTTGGCTGTGATTTTAAAAATATTTTTTGCCTTGAGGGCCTGAAATTGGTTTGACAACTTTTCTCTGAAATGTCTAGGTTTCTCTGGCTTTTGGGTTCAGCATGCTTCAATGATCATGGATGACTCCACAGTGGCAACTAAGTTAGGCAAACTTGAGTTGGAATGAGTTGGACTAATTTGCTGAATTTTCGGCCTGACATTAACGTGATTAGGGGGAAAGTTCGGTTGGGAAATCGACTTCTAATCCCCCCTCCACCCCCACCCAAGGCTTCAAGGGATATCCGTATCTTCCAAACGCACTGAGGATGAGAGGTGCTATTCTGATTATTAGTGTCATTATAATACAACCATATGTCAAAGATTGTCAATAGGAATAAACAAAGTAGGAAATCCATTAGAAAAGAGTAGAAACACTGAAGGTAATATCATTATAGTCCAATATAGAACCTTTTTAAAATAATTTTACTTATTCCTGGTACAAAAATTTATGTCAACGTGTGTAGGGGGTAGGGAAGGGCTGAGGTTACATCCATCCATCCCTGTGGCGCTACAGCCCATGTAGGGCTTTGGCCTGCCTCACCACTTCCTTCCACTCAGACCTAACTAATGCCTTTCTATTCCATGCTTGTACTTTCAACTGCTGTAGATCTTTTTCCACATCATCTATCCACCTAAGCCTTGGTCTACTTTTGAGCCTTTTTCCTCTGGGGCTGAGGTTACACCATCAGTTAATACTTCACCACTGTAACCTGACACCTCTGTGTTAAAGTCTGAATTAAGTTTTAAGTCTTAAACTTAAATTAAATAATTATATTTGTTTTTATTTTTTAACCTTACTTTTGCCATTTAATATTATAATATGAATATTGCTTTTGGACTGGAAAAGGGAACAACATTTGGCCACAAATGGGCTGAATAGGGCTAGTCATTTAATGGCAGAAATCTATTAATAGAACTGATGTCATCATTACTCATCATCCGAGTACTCAGCGCTGACAAAATGCCAACACTGTTCAGTATTACTATGTTAGTGAAGTGTTCCTGAAACTTGTTTACAACTCTAATTTACGAAATACTTTACACATTTTTTTTACGTCTATTTTCTGAAATGGGACTTCATTGTGTGAACGGCATATGTAACAGTAACTCTAGATACAAGGATTGTTCAAACGATATGCTGAAACACACTATGCTGCCCTGTTTTAAGCAATATTTCTCAGCCAACCTTCTAAAAATAGTACCCTATGACGTTTTCCAGTCTGAGAAATGACAAAGCCTATAGACAACAAATTCAAGGAGCAACTGATTTTTTAAAAACATTTTGTAATTAAAAACCATCTAATATTTAAATTTTAAAACTAAACAAAGGAATAATAAAAAATATATACTTTTACATAAGGACAAAATCACTAATTGGAAAATTTAAAAAGAACAAACTTGTTTCTTTAACTATTGGAGTGCTTTAATTTAGCTACATGGGATTCGGGTAAAAATGATCAATGACTTTTAATTTATTGCGCTAAAATATTAGATTAACACACATTGACTTTGACTAGACACAACACTGACAACACCCCATGTTTTTTGTTTTGTTTACCTGAAATTCCAATGGATTGTCGATAGCTGTAGATAAACTGTGACAATGATACAAGAAGATCATATGAAGTGTGAAGCTCAAACATTTCAAAATTTTAAAACAATTACATTAAAATCCAATTTATAGCATTTTTTTTTTTCAGATAGATTGTTTATTAACCTGATGCATCACAAGATTTTCATGTAGGGTCAAAGGTTATGTTTACGGTGTGCATAGAAATGTTAGCTCAAACCTTGCAAATAACAATAATAACTTGCTCTACTGTTGCGTAATCTTTCAAAAATGTTATTGCATTGTAAATTATATTGACCTACACTTTATACTGTAATTTCACATTCCAATTCAGAATTATTGTTTTTTTTTAAATTCAATAACTTTATTTCATAAAGAGAAAAAAAAAGAGAGCCATTTTAAGAAGTCACCGCCACATGCAATTCATCCCAGGAACAATTGCCTGTTGTATTAATAATTAATATTAGTGTTAAGATTTCTAAAATGTTTTCTCGACTTTTAAGTCTAAATAGATTTAAATATAAATATCATTTTTTTATAAACTTATTTAAATTCTAGATTTTCGGATTAATATCAAAAATTCAAATGAGATATATTTATCCATATAGCGTCTAGATTAGGCCTACTGTTAAGTTTATATAATTAAAAAATCTGAACAACCACAACAATAAAATGTCCTATGAAATAAGCAGCACAGCCCGCAGCACAGCATGCTTTCAATTTCAGCATGAACACACAGTTTCACACAAACATTAACACAGCAAGGCCCCTTTTAGTACAGACATTAAACAGTGGTTATTGTATCTGGTAAGCCTTGTTTATAGAACTATGTGTATGACTATATTATGAATGTAATTGGCTTGCATACATGGGTTCATGGCACATGTCATGAGCATGCAGCGAGTATCCGAGTAGCAAGACTTCAAAAGCAAGAGGATGTTGTGACGCCAGGAGTGTCATTAGTCTTAGATTGGATTAATTTAGCTGTCCCTAATTTTATGAAATCTGCAATGCAAAGATATCACTAGCAGCCTACATCTAGAAAATAAACAATATGAAATGGATAGAAAATACCACCTCAAAATTAAAATAAGTGCCACCCTTGGTCTTGGTGGACCATTTTAGGCCCTGCTCCGCCCCCTTCTTATATGCCATTATATGCCCATGCATATGATATGACATCTAAAAAATGGAAAATTGTTGACAATGAATGATCTGATTGACACTATTGTAATTGTTTAATTAAACATATTGACTCTTACTCACTACTGAGAGTGTGACAAACCTGATCCATGGTGGAATAGTTAGTAAGAAGCACCCTACAGTACAACTAAAATTAGAGGAAAACTCTCCCTGAGAGAGAGGATGAATCAGAAGATGACTGTAGACTTGAGTAGACAACTCTTTTCTGTCATACTACATACCAGATGCCAACCAGCGGGATCAAAATCAATTCAACCCTTTCACAAATAAAAACTGGTACCAAAAAATGAAAAGTTGAAATAATTTTAGTAATATTAATGAATAGGCCTAGGTCATGATTGAGTATAATACTTTCTAAGGCCTGGCCTATCATTTATAATCTTTCATCATCATCATCAATGGCACTACAGCCCATGTAGGGCCCTGGTCTGCTCCACCACATCCTTTCCATTCGGAGCGATCCATGGCTTTCCGTCTCCATGCTCGAACCCCCAACTGGTGTAAATCTGTCTCCACATCATCAATCCACCTCATCCTTGGGCAACCGATGAGTCATCTGCCCCTAGGCTCTAGGCTTCTGCCTGTATATAATTTTGGCTGCTCTGCATTCCGGCATCCTTTCAACATGACCTGACCAGCGTATTCTGCCTTTTTTTATCATTGTATTTATAATCTTTATGTTTATTATTTTAAATTCACAAAATTTGTTGTTTGAGATCATTTGTGCCTTGTTGTGCTTTTTGTCTGTTTTAACACCTAGATACTCTAATATATAAATCAAAGAGCATAGCAGTCTTGTAATGAACACCACTACATCCCAATTGTTCATGACGAGTCAGGACCAGATTCCTCCTCTGTAACACCCATTCTGTTTCTGTGACACTTTTCGCATCCATATTCCATATTTGGAATTTACCTCATAAATAGCCTACCAGTCCCATAGTATAGATCACCTTCAATGGACTATTGGGATTCAAACTTCAATATGACCAACTTTGAATTTTTTGTAAGAAATAAACAAATGCAATGGTCCAATTATTACCTTCACCATTTTTTTAATATTTGCAATTTTTGTATGTTCTAAATCCATTGAAAATCTGCACAAAGTAGTGTATTGTCATACTATTTTGAAAACAAAAAAAATCCTATGCCTATACAAAGTAAGGGTAAAACATATCATTTGTATGATACATGCCAGTTTATTTTACTATGCTGACAAAGCAGCAGTTCAGCTTAATCAGTTTTCTCTGGGGTCCTGTCCAAGAACTCAAAGGTCTTCCTGGTCCTGATGGCTAGCACTAATGGCTAATGGTCTCTTAAATTTAACATGGCCTTAATGCGTTTGTAAAAGTTGAAAACATATTTTTTTAAAGACTACAAAGCCACTCTTACTTTGGTACTTTAAAAAGGTATAGCCGAGTTCATTGTTTTAAAATATTAGTATTCTGTTTACACATAACATTCCACCTCATTATGCACTGATTTATTTTGTTTTATTTTAACAGCCAAAAGGATTTAAAGCCAGCTGAGAGATACCAAATTTGATCATGAGGTAAATATGGCTTTTAAATTTTAGTCTAGCCCTCCTTTTTAAAATGATTATAAAACAATTACTTAAGTACTAGACACTAGCATATTTCAAAGTAATGGTCATTGCATTTTTGGAGTCCCAGGTTTTTGTCGCAATAGAGTCTTAAGGGGGAAGGGTTTGGGTGTTAAAAATCTATTGTGATGCTGTTGCCAAATTTATTTTCTTATAGCTATAACTAATTTTATATTATTTATAAACATCTAAACTAATAGTATAATACATGTTATATTTATTGAGGATTGAAAAAAAAATGGGATTTGTATTATATACTTATACAATGCATAATACTAAAGGTATTGATAATAGGCACAGGTATTTGAGAAATTGTGCTAGTTATTTTCACAAGTAAACACGCTAGATATCACTCTAATAGTATCCATGATATGTTCAACTTGCACATGACATATTTTTTTAAACTAAGACAGTTCATAAAATATTTTGATTCCTGGTCATTATGAAGAAACCACAGGGAAGGGCAGTTCCTAGAAAAAATCAGCACCCATGCCAAACCCTGAAAAGGGCATCCCTCAATTTAGATAAACGTGCCGCCCGAGTGGCAAAATATTCTAAAAAGATGATTTTTGGTGCCCCTTTTGAAGTGCATTGCATTTTATAGTTTAATTCACTTTTAAAGTCTTTTCTAAAGATACTTTATCCCTCCCCACCCCACCCTTCTCCCCCAATGATGGTGTCAGGGGCGAGTGCTCCCTTTTCCAACATCTGACCATGGTGATTCTGCACATATTTTGGGAACCACATGGCTTGTGAAGCAGTCAGTGTTGGAATACTTGGACACATTTATTTTATTGTGACGTCATAATTGTTTATAGATAATTTGATTTTTTTTTTTGGGGGGGGGGGTATTGTACATACGCATGGGCAGTGTCCAGGGGGGGGGGGTTAAAACTTTTGCAAGTTTAGTATATGATATGCATAGCCCCTTAAAAATTCAACACATGTAAATTGTTGATAACTTGTCACTGTTTTTTTTTTTTTTGTCGTTATTATTGTTTATAGATAATTTGATTTTTTTTTTTGGGGGGGGGGGTATTGTACATACGCATGGGCAGTGTCCAGGGGAGAGAGGTTAAAACTTTTGCAAGTTTAGTATATGATATGCATAGCCCCTTAAAAATTCAACACATGTAAATTGTTGATAACTTGTCACTGATTGCTCTTGAGGTACTTTTTGTTATAGTCTTTGTGTTTTTCCTACAGTTATAAAATCCCTGATAACTTTGAAGAAGATGATGTATCTAATCTAAAACTTTCAGAAGATGATGAAATTTACCTGATTAGGGTCCCCAAAGGAGTAAGTATTAAGTTAATGACTTTTAATTTTACATAATCTATGACAACCAATTCCACAACAAAAGCAGATCATGAAATTGTTTATTATGATGGCACTTTCAGTAAAACTTAATTATTTTTATAAATAATTATCTGTTTGAAACCTGTTTGTGATCAATAAATCTTTTACCTGCTTTAGAGCAAAAAGTGTTACTTTGTTACAATCATTATAACCGATATTAACAATATGCTAATTAACATTTCTTTTACAGTTTGACATTAAAAAATTACATGAAACAAAATTTTCACCTGATCAAATCACAGAAATTGAGGTAAGAATAGGAATGAACTATACACAACATACATTTTCCCTTTTAAATTTTCAGTACATTTTAAACATGAGGCACATCTTTAAAATTTGCCACCCATTATGACATTCCGAAATTCCAACTCGAAGGCGTTTTGGTGCTACTTTCTGATTTTGATTCACATAGTTTTGAATAAGTGAATTGGTGCGTTATAAGACTATAAAAGACCCATGAGTGTAAAATATGTAAAAAAGATTCAGTCTGAATCTAAACCTTAAAAATATTATATCAATTGCATTATTATAATTGTTTTGTGTCGTGAATAAAAGTTTTTTAATGAAACATTTTTAAATTAATTTATTAGAAATTAATTGTTTAATACATTAATTTGCTAAAATTACCTATTAAATTTATAAATTATTCTAAATATCAATCTTCAAAATACCTTCTTTTTGTACCATATACAATACTTTCTGAAATCCTCCATTTTTTTAAAAGCTCATAGCTTTATGATTAATTGACATCTATACCTGATGTATTGTAAAAGCAAGTTTCCAAGAATCAGTAAACAAAATCAGACAGCATTGTGACCTCCTACTTTGAATTAGCACTAGGTCCTAATTACAAAAATCATATATAAATCTGGTAGTGCATAGGGACAAGTCTGCCATAATTGATATCAATCTGCAGGGCTTTTTTTAACATTTTTGTTTTATTTCTGAATTTTATTATCACATTTCTTTGCCAAAGACTGAAGCAATCCACTTAATCACACATGCCAAAATGTTGGTGCCTTATGATTTTCTCCCTAAATTCTTTGATAGGTTGAAGATGACAATGACCAGCTGGCTTCAGTGTATGAGTTGAGTGTATTTAGACAAGAGGTACTGTTTTAAATTTTTTTCTTTAGTGGGATTTTATTGTTGTTCTTAAGATAGTGATTTTAGTAACCATGAGATTGTTTTTTTCAATAATTCATCTCTACTGTCAAATCATCTGTGTTTAAGCATTTTTTTTAGTAAAAAAAAATCAATCACTTTTTTTTGTGTAATTGAAATTTCTATTTTGTTGTGAACTTTGGCAGGAAATTCAAAAACTATTAACAGTTTAAGATTTGTATATATAAATATATATTATCATGTTAAAGTAATATGCCTCATTAAAGAAATTAAATGTTACCAAACGTTCTAATATAATGTATTAATGGTTTTTACCTTTAGGATCTTGATGTAGTACCTGTGGTCAAGTCAAAGAGGAAGTCTGCTTGTTTAGGTAATTTGACTGATTTGAATGTTATGATGTGAATATCATGTTAAATTTCTGAACTTAAAGTTATTACCACTGATTTGCTTAGTCTCTCAAGAAGGGTGAATGAATCTACTTCTAAAATTTCTGAAGTTTAAAAAAAAAACTTAAACAACTCTTAAAAAGAATTTAAAAAATCAATAACACCTTGTTTTAAATTTATTCTCATGCACCTACTCTAAAAGTGGTGCCAGCTATTTCAAGCACGTTGGTGTTGGTTGTTTATTTTTATTTTCCATCTTATTTTCAGGACCACCAATTAGTGGGCTTCTGTGTGTAACCAAGTCCTACAATGTCAACCCAAGCTCTCTAGATCACAGCCTGGGGTTAAATGAAACAAAACCTGTGGAAATGCCCCCAGGCCTGAAGCAAAGATACACTCCATTTGGGTCAGGTAATTTTCATGTCATGAGCTATAAAACTTCAAGAACACAGTACTTAACATATTGAAAATATAAGAACACAGTACTAACATATTGGAAAATATAAGAACACTGTACTTAACATATTGAAAATATAAGAACACAGTAGTTAACATATTGATAATATAAGAACACTGTACTGAACATGCTGCACCAAAAGTTGTATTTTAAATTTTAGTGACATAAAGGGCCATATTGTTTGTTTTTGTTTTGTTTTTTTTTAAATTTCATTCAAAATAGTTTGAGTAGCTTCTTAGATAGCCCACTTACAGTTGCAGTAGATAATATAAATAGATAGGGGAAATGTTAAAGTTTTATTCATATTTTAAAATATTTGCTAATTATCCTGGGGGCATTTCTATCATGTTCAATCCATTCACCAACCATATTGGAATTGAAACATAGCTACTTCATAGAGCAGGAGACTCCTCCCACTATTATCTTGTAAGACACAGGGCATGCACCAGGGGTTCCCCTATAGAAATTGATTCTTAACAGGGCTCTGTGAGTCGTAAGGTTGGAAACCACTGTATTTTATAGTTGTAGCATTTACATTTTCTACATACATCGTTACATTTCAATTTTTTTCTAAAATTAACAATGTTCATGTAAGTGAAGTGAAAACCTGTGTAATTAAAATGTAAGCATACATCACTAATAATATTGCCCCCAATGCTGACATTTTGAAATTTTTTCATGATATGACCCCTGAGTTAGTTCAACATTTTCATTAACATAAACTGAAAATCTTGACATGAATTAAACCAAAAATTTGACATGAATTGAACCAGAAATTTGACATAACGCTTAAAAAAAATACTTGTACAATTAAAAATTTCTCCTTAGGTGGTCTTTTCTCCTATGTTTCAACCTAAATTTAGTTCAAAACTGATTCCTTTTGTTTATCAGGCTAATACAATTTTGGACAGAGTTTTAAAATTTGACTTTGTTTGAAAGAATCCAAGGTCTCAAATTTGACAGCAGCCACCTCTGCGTTATCTTTTTATTTTTGTGTATTTTTGTTTTCGGTGTATGTGTGTGTGACTGAATGAAACATGTATGTGTCTAGATCAGTGTGCTTGACTTGTATGTGCATTTGTGTCTGTGTTAGTAGTTGTATCTACCTGAATGATGGCTGGATCTGAAGCATTCTTTTTATCATCATCATATGTATATTTGTTTGACTGCAGGATTAATTTATCACTCTTTGACCCTTTGAACCCTTGGCTCCTGGACCTAAAATACTGATGTCCCTTGGCTCGTGGTCTTAAAATACTGATGCTCCTGGTCCTAAAATACTGATGCCCCTTGGCTCCTGGTCCTAAAATACTGATGCCCCTTGACTCGTGGTCCTAAAATACTGATGCTCCTGTAGAAAATTACCACAAACAAACAGAAATCACATGATTATAAAATCAAATAAATTTTATTTATTTCAATCTAAATTTGTCTGTTAGTAGTCCATAACTACTGTTAAATGTATCACAGGGAGAAAATTGTCATATAATAGGATAGTAGAAGGTCATTTATTTTTTTACACAAAAACCAAGGCTGGTACTATGGGTAGACATTGTGTTGTTTCTTTTATTCGCAAGCACTTATCAGTAGCAATAGTAGTTGAATTAAATTGATCGTCACTATTATTGTCTATTTGCTTTATTAAAATTATTCTTTCAAAACATGATAATAATCCTTTGAATCATTTGCATTATCAACCATCATTAGCAATTTTTTTATTTTTTGTCACCTCTATGCATTGCAATACATTACTAAAACATAACAAAATACAATACATCAATAAGCGCTGCAATTACTGTGACCTTTCAAAAGTGACATGGTAAACCCTGAACTCTGTATTACAACACATTTTCATATACCGATATGGACTGTCTAGGGTAAGATAGGGGGAACCGAAATATCAGATAGTTTTTCCTTATTTATTACTCATTTACATTTATTTTTTACTCCAGGCAATCCTGAGCAATTTTCAACTAAAAAGAAGAAACGCAAGCATTCCTTGTCTCAAGTTGTTACACCTGATGGTAAACCCTTGAGGAAGAAGAGAAAAATCGACAAAACCTCTAATATAGAGTTGGGGACCTCACCAAAAACAAGCCAGGTTGACAGCATTGGGGATTCTTGCCAATCGGGTGCAAAACTTTTAAAAAGTACTTCTAAGCGATACTTTCATGAAACACCTGTCGCATGTGAGACTGCTGTGACTAAGAAAGTTAAACATAAAAAGTTGAATCATTCAGTAAATGAGTTCGACGACAGCCAGACGTGTTCTCCAAAGAAAAGGCATAAGAAATCAAAGAAAAGACACTCCAGTGATTCACTTGTGTTCATTGACCCAAAAGAAGATGCTAGTAAAGTTCTTCCTGATTTACTTGATGGGCATGTAGAGGTTTCACAGGATGATCCTTCTGTGTCTGGAGAAATAAAAGAAATAAGTAATCAAGTTAAGAGAAAGTTATCCTCTGGTTATTATAGTTTCAGTGCTGATACTAGCTTAGATTCTGGTGAAAACAGTGCATATTCAAAGGACAGGAAGAAAAAGAGGAAAAGGAAAAAGGATGATGGGTATTGAGATTTAATATCAGAATCATGGTACCGTTATGAGAATTAATTATTGCATTGACATGGGCCTTAAATCAGTTTGTTATTAGGTTTGAAGCACTTTTTATTCAATTTGTCTCTGATTCAGCAGTTACAGAATTGTGATTAATCCATTTGATTTATTACTCTGGTAACTACTAAATATTGTCACTATATTTTTAGTGTCTTGCATTCAGCTATTTTAATGTCTATTTTTTTAAATTTTACCAAATCAAAGACAAGAAAGAAAATGTTTCAAATGTTGGTAAAATTTTGTTGACAGTAGTAATATAAAATGTACTTCAACTTTAATGTCTGGAAACATTCTGGTTATGGAATTTCAGGGGAAAAAAAATTAAGTTACTTAGATGAAATGTGCATTACCTTTGGAATTATATTTTTTTATAGTAATAATACTAACAGGAGGATCTTTTGAGTGTCAACTATTTATAACATAGCAGTCTTTAACACAGCATCTCATTCATTGCTTGTGCATGTAATTGGATTTTTCAAGCTAAAATGGTTTTTATACCATTGTTTAAGTTTTAATGAAGACATGGAAAATTGATTGATGAAAATTTATTTTTGTTAAAATCATTTATTTACTGTATAAATAAATTTGTGTTATATTCAAGAACTTGTCATTACTTCTTAATTATTTTTTTTTAAAGTTTTAATCACAGAAGCATGTTTACCTAGCTCTTTTTAATTAGACTAGATTTATCATTACTGTAGCATATATTTTGGGATTATTATTTTAAAATCTGGATTTCAGGATGGACTTCTAAAAATATTTTTTTATGAAAACTGTGTCTTCAACTCCAATCACCAAATAAAACTGCTTTACATACCCTACTCTGGTGGCATCCTGTTCTGTGGTGAAACAAACTATAGCGAGCTCTGTCAAGTTTTCCATTTGGACCATTCCCATCAAAAAATTGTTTTTAATTCATTCAAAATTAAATACAAGGAAGCATTTGGGTGCATACCTCAATTTAGTCTTGCATCATTCTACACTTAACCGCCATTTATTAATACTTTCCGTCGCCTTCCCACGGGTAATGGAACATCCTGGATGCGCACCCTCACTCAAAATATTGGCATCTCATCGACCATGTTATTATCGGGAGAATGGACAGTCGGGACGTGCGTGCAACCAAGTCTATTTGTGGTGCATCGGCACCTAAACCAAAATAAAGGTGGTCAAGGCAGCTTTGCTCCCAATACATTTGCATGTGAAACGTGGACAGTCTCATCAACGCCATGCTATGAATCTAGGAAACTAAACCACTTTCCCACAATGAGCCTCCAAAAAATCCTCAACATCATATGGCAGGATAAGATCTTGACTCAGAGTTTATGCACAACCAGATCTCCCCACTATACACACCTTATTAATGGAGTCCCAGTTTTGCTGGGCTATGTTGCTAGAATGTCAGACAAGTGCTTGCCCAAAAGAATATTTTATGGTGAATTCAAGCATGACAGGAGGTTAGCTGTGGATAAAAAATACGTTTTAATGACACACTAAAAGCTACTTTGAAAGCATTTCACATTGACCCTGACTTGTGGGAACAGTTGAAAGTCCTCAGAGAAGCGAGACTCGTGATGCTCCACTCTACAAAAGGGCTCAGTGCAACATAAGGTTAGCAGAACACAAAAGACAAGTCAGAAAAGCCCGAGTTAAATCTGTACATGAGGTTGTTGCATCTATCCCCTGCACCTTCTGGGCCAGAACATTTCGTGCCACCAAAGTCGCACCGATTAGCCAGCTGCACATCCACAGACGGATTCAGCTCCATTCTAATTTTGACGGGTGTACAACCACAATAATACACAACGTACAAAATAATAATAATAATATTCTAAATCTTCCACACACACAAAGTGTAATTAATATGAAAATCGAATTACTAGTTCACAAAACCTGTCTTTGTTACAACTTCGTAATTAATAGGCCTCCTAATCTAGATATGTTTATATTAAATAAATGCTTTAAAAAACTGTAGGGCATACTTGTTTATTACTCTAATTTCAATTTGCGAAATTTAAGATTTACCACTCTTCATCTCTATTTAAAAATGTTATAAAAATGACAATTCAGTTCATCAGGTGATATTTTTTTTTATATATATATTATAAGCTATATCATTTTTTTGGGTTGTATCTGTCACTCAAAAGTAAAAAATTCCACTTTTTTTCCTCGGGGTTGGGGGCTTTCTCTGGTGCAACAATACACCCCCTCCCCCCCCCCCCAAGAGCTTGCCCGACGATTCCCCCATCCAAAACAAGACCTACAGTAACCATTTAGTAATAATAGCATTACAATTTAAAAGTAAATGTGACGGGATAAAAATAGTTATTAATAAATATTAATTCGTATCTTATTTCCAAGTTTTGGTGGGATAGATTCTGCTTTTTGAATTCATTTGAAAAGAATAATGTACCTTTATTGGCAAAAGAGCGACTTCCTGTTGATACTTGGTTTGGCTCGTCAATATAAGATTTATAAATACGCTTTTGTTTTAAGATTTCCAGTACATGTCAATTGGCTTCATACTTACTTATGTTCTAATAGTTTGTTTCCTTGTTCAGTCCAAAAGATATAAATCATAATGGCGCAGTTTATGGAAGTAGGAATGGAGTTTGAGTCCTTCGATGCATTTCAAGCAGCTATGGAACAATATGAGGACACCAACTTCGTTCAATTTTCAAGAATGGATTCACGATCCGTTGAAAAAGCTCAGGAAAGCTCACTTACAAAAACATACAATCCAGAAATTAAGTTTTCACAGCTACATTATGCATGTACATTTGGACCCAAAAAAGCAATGTCCCGTTCTAGTGGAATACGCAATGCAACGTAAGTCACAATTCACATGGGACTGTAAATTAGTGTTAAGTACACTGAAGTGTGCCTGGAACTTACAACATAATCTAAGCAAACTATGAGTATGGTCCATAGACCACAGTATGGGTCTGCTTATTTTTGAACTGGTGTTATTAAACAAATTATGGTGGTAGCAAGCTCTTCAGAAGATACATTTTGGCCAGATGTCAAACAAATCATAGAATGAAAATGCCAAATTTATATTAGCATACCCTAATTGTAAACTGTTATAAATTAAATATTTTATTATAATAGCACAAATGGAAAGTTATTGGTATTGATATCGATTTAGTAGGTGTGTTCTTCCTATTATTATGAGTTCTTGGCAATGGTAGGATTATGTAACATTATGTACCACAATATAGGCCTATGGTAGGCACTTCAGTAAGGCAAGGGAGACTACTTCAATATATGTATGGGAAATAGGAATCGGCGCAGAAGAATCCAAGTTTTTAATGTTTGGAGGTTGGTGCTTTTTCATTGATAAAACTACTCTTTTGTCTTCCAAATGTTAACTGTAGTGGCCATCTTGACCTACATTTCCATCATAAATTTTTGCCTTTTACATTGACCCCAATATAAGAAATTCATGGGTAAATATAAGGCATCTTTCCCTAAAAATTTATTATGAATTCAAATTTTATGTCTTTCATATTAATTCTTACTCTGCAAAATATATTGAAGTATATGTGTGCCAATTTTCATTGAGCTAGGACATGTCAGCCATTAGTTATGTTCATGTTAGGGACCATTAGGTCGCCCTGCCCCATTTAGACCACGCCCCCTTTTCAATGGTGGAAAATGCCAATACTTTGGAAATAATTAATTATTACCACTATTTACATCAAAATATTTGATAACTTGTGTCTTAGAATGAACTGAAGTGTAATTTAAACAATAAAATTTTAATTTGAGGTAAAAAAAACAGGGTAGAGTCCATATTATAAATGATCATAATTTGCTGTGTGCTAAACGTTGTCATGGGCAGCCATTCGTAGTTACTTGCATAATATACTATCACAGAGTTTCATTCATAAAAGTTTGCCGTGTGAAAAAAATATTCAACCGTTAGGGAAAGCTTTAATTAATTAGCCATGTGCCAAAGTTGAAAGTTAAAAAAGTAGTCCCTAAACAGTATTTTAGTTATAAGGGGATGCATTGCTTGTAGAATGCCTTGACGTCCTCCTCCCAGCACTCACCTCCATCATAAATTCTTCGATTCTCTCTGGCATATTCCCTCCCATTTTTAAACGGTCGATTGTCCTGCCCCTCCTAAAGAAACCCTCACTTGATCCAAACACACTCAAGAATTACCGCCCCGTCAGCAACCTCTCCTTTCTCTCAAAAATCATAGAAAAACTCATACTCTCTCAGCTCTCTGGCTATCTTCATTCTCGCAATCTCTATCCTTCCTCTCAGTCCGCCTACCGACTTGGTCATAGCACAGAAACAGCACTGGTCCGAGTCATGAGTGACCTCCTGCGCGCGATGGACGATGGCAAACTCTCTATTCTCACTCTGTTAGATCTCTCTGCTGCATTTGATACCATTGACCACCAGATTCTTCTTGACCGCCTTCATCTTTCTTTCGGACTTACTGGCTCAGCTTTAAACTGGTTTCAATCATATCTTTCTGACAGAACTCAAAAAGTCTCTATTTCCAACCGCTCTTCCAAACCTTCAGCCCTGTCTATTGGAGTTCCTCAAGGATCGGTCCTTGGGCCGGTCCTTTTCATCCTCTACACTAAACCTCTATCATCTCTCATTAGCCACCACTCAGTTTCCAGTCAATCCTTTGCTGATGACACTCAAATCAGTGACTCTTGCTTTCCTGATCAACTTGATGCCACAATCCTTCGCATACAGGAGTGCGTGGACGATGTAAAGCGTTGGATGACTTGCAACAAACTGAAGCTAAATGATGATAAAACGGAAATCCTTCTCATCCACTCTCAAAACAAACCTCTCCCTCCATTCGCTCCTTCTTCTATATCTATTGGCAACTCTGACATCACACTCTCTCCCTCTGCCAGAAACCTTGGAGTCACGCTTACGGACACCCTCTCCATGGACAAACATGTCACGAATATATGCAGATCAGCATATAACGAAATTAGAAAAATCAGCACCATTAGACACCTCCTCTCCTTTGATGCCACAAAAACTCTCGTCTCTTCACTCATTCTTTCAAAATTTGACTACTGTAACATTCTTCTCTCAGGCATTCCTCAACACCACATAGAAAAACTTCAGAAGGCACAGAACTCAGCATGCAGACTCATTTTTAAATTAAAGAAACATGACCACATTCAACCACACATGCGGCAACTCCACTGGCTTCCAATATCCTCTCGCATCAAATACAAGTCTTCCAATCTTTGCTTCAACTCGTTCACTGACCCTCACTTTCCTGTCTATCTCTCTGAACTGTTGCTTCCTTACATCCCCACAAGACAACTACGTTCTTCCATTGACAGTAGAACCCTCTCAATCCCAAGAACTAAAACTAAGACCATCGGTGAACGCTCCTTCTGCTTCCATGGGCCCACGTTCTGGAACCAGCTCCCCTTCCATATACGTCATAGTGAAACCTCGTCCATTTTCAAAAAGTCCCTTAAAACTCATCTGTTTAGGTCCGCCTATGACCTGTGATGCACCCTCCTTGCCCTACCTAATTTTCTGTTTCGGTTTAATCCTGAAGTGTCAAAGTGTCCTCTTTTTATAGCCATTTTCATTGTTTCTATAGAATAGTAGTTACTATCCTAGTGTCTCATTTGTATTTACTTAGTTTACATGTTTTAATAATTGTAAAGCGCTTAGAGCTTTATGATAAGCGCTATATAAAAATGCCTAAATAAATAAATAAATATAAACTATATAGTCATTGCGCATGATGCGATCAGTGGAATAAGGTCACATGATGTGGAGGTTTCGTCCATTGTAAAAATTACCAAACAAACTGGGACTTTCAAATTTCGTAGCTCAAAAAGTACTAAAGCTAAAAAGTTGATTCTGGTTTCATTTTTGTATTTGAAATTAGCTCTAAATAACTGTAATATTTAAAAAATTATTTAGAATTTTTTTTTTTTTTTTACTGAAGTACCTACCTATAGCTTATTAAATTAGATCTATCCTTTTTTTTACAACCACTTCACAAGAGGATTAAACGGTTGCACTTAATTTCGCTATCAAACTTAGTCGGCATTACATCACCATTTAAAATTCATATATGACATATGTATGCTGCTTAGGAGTCAATACTGACAACCAAAATGAAACAGGGATCATATTTATATTGATAGAAAATTAAAATGTAAGATGACATTGATAGCATAGATTGCTTTTACAAAATTATGTCACAAGTTTTAAGTCTTTTTGCGCTCCTCCCTCCCCCAATAATTTTAAAATTTCCAATTAGGTTGGACTGAACTTAATGCCCATTTTCTCAATCTGACTTCAAACAATGATTACTCAACTGAATCTTTTTATTAAGTAAGATTTATTTCTTTTCACAGATCACGCAAAATTGATTGTCCAGTACGTATCAGGCTATCAGCAACTCCAGATGGTCAAAGATTGGTTATAAGAGAAAGTAAACTTGATTGCCACAACCATGAAGTTACTGAGGTAAGCTAAAAATTAGTGGAAAATGACATCACTTTTTATTTTTGATATCTCCTTATAATAATTATTTGTAAGTAAATTATCTCTGCCTGCCTTTTAAAATATTTTTCTTCCAGGAGAATTATCAATAATATATGTTAACATTTATTTAAGCTTTTGTACCTGTTATATTATTATAAAAGTTAATTTCTCTCTATATATTTAGGAGCAGTACAAGTCTTTGTCACGACAAAAACAGTTAGATGAGGAAACAGAGAATGAGATCTACAATTTAATAAGCATGCATGAAGATAAAAGGCTAGCTAGAATGTTGATACGGGATAAGCTTACAAAAGAGACTGGCAGATCGATATCAGTGAAAGATATCCTAAACATTGAAAAGAGGGTGGCAAAAAGACATGAAAACCAACAAGAGTATGTCAATAATTATTTTTAAAATGGTTATCATTCTTTTATATATATTTTTGGTGTAAATTACTGAAATTGTGTGGGTGCTGAAGAATATTAAATTTAATTAAATTATTTAAAAAAAATTATTATCAATTTCCATGATCAATTTATTGAGCTTGCTCATATTCCTCGATGTATATTGGCTTGTATTTTCCATTGGCCTGTATGTAGATTTTGTATTGTGTTTTGTATTTTTTTGCGCTTTGAGGCTTAATTAGGGATGAAGCATGTTTTGAAATGAACCATATTATTATTATTATTATTTGCATTGAGCCAGTTAAGACCGCTCGGCCACCCAGTACCTTACTTTATCAGTGTTTATTATAGGTTCAAGTTTAATTTTGTTTTGCCACTTTTCATCAGCTCCTCTGATAAGAAAGTTGTCTCCGATGATCAGGAAGGTGAAGAAAAGGAACAAGATGGAGAAAGCACACATGAAAAGGACAATGATACTCATGAAGAATCTCAAGATGAAGAAAGTGAAACAAGTCAAAAGGTATTTTATAACAAAGTTTTGAATTATTTATGAACCCACGTACTGTCATAAGGGCTGATCATCTACGGCCAATATAATGAGCCTCTACTAAAATTAATATAAATGCAAATAAGAAGTTTTACAGTTTTTTTTATAGGGGGATAACTCTATCAGCTATACTAGATCTAATTGTGGAAGTAGATGAAAATAAGCTACTAATGAACTTAATAGCATTGTATTAAGAAATATCTTGGTCACCAATGGAACTTTTTAAAAATTTATATAAACCTCAACTTTTTATTTTCTAAACTGAAAGGATGATGACTTTTGTGTCTGAAAAACCTGTTTAACTAATAAAAGGACCCAGTAGTCAGGTTGGGTGTGAGTTGAAGAAAAATGAACAGTAACACAATTAATTTTACACACAAGAGGTCAAGGTCATATTCTTTTCACATAACTCACAGAATTCTAAAATTAATACCATATGATTCCTTGTCCAATTTACTCTCAGAATATCTATAATTATATTTTTGTCATTTTCTGTTAATTTTGGGTATTTTAATGATGCAAATCAAAGTTAATTTTAAAAAAAAAAGAGTTTACACCACAGCACATTTGCCTTTGACAGCTCATGGGTTCAATACTATTTTCGGGGTTGATATCCAAATAAAATTCAATTTATTTAAGTTTCTGAAGGAAGTAAATCCCATGTGTGTGTTACTTTGACCAGCTGAAGACTAAATAAGTCATTTTAGTGTTTCCATATTTTACAAGATTTCAGATATCATTGAAAAACAAAGTTTGCTACTTTTTAATTCAATTGTGACGGTGCAAATTTGAAATATAATATTAAGAAGTAATCTAAATGTTAAGAATAAGAAGCACTAAAGTTTTGAAAATCTAAATAACTTCTCCTCCCCCACAGAAACCAACAAAGAAATCTAAACCAGCCACATCACCAGGTCGACCTCAGCGGAACAGGCGAGAGCCAAGAAGATTTCGTGATGCCATAGAAAATGGGGAGAAGGTTCTGCACACATCCAGAAATAATGTTGTATCCATTGTCTCTCCGGATGAACTGGACGATTTTGAATCCAACTCAAACCCAGCATCCACCTCCAAGAAATTGAATCATCCCATAAAACAGGAAACAAGAGGGAGGAAAAGAAAGATACGAACCGTGTCTGAAGATTCTGAACCAGAAATAAAAGCTGATTATGAGGAACGAAAGCTTGCCATTAAAGAAGAATTGCTGGAAATGGAAAAGAAAAAAATGAAAGTTTTGCAAGACATTGTAAAAAAACTGGACAAGATCATAGAAAACCAGAAAAAGAGCTAGAATACCATATCATCTCCTTTAAAAGTACTTTTTCTGTATTTGTTGAAATAATGTATATAGTGTATACTGTTAAGTTTTGAAACAATTTAATACATTTCAGTCAGCCATCTGCTTATTGACAAAATAATGTGTGTAAAATGTTCATTTAAAATTATGTGACTTAAAACCCACTTAATATAAGCTTTTAGGTCGTTAGTATCTATTGCCTTTTTACATTTACACTAGTTGTACTTTGATTTTAAAACAACTGTTAAATGGCGATACAACTTGTTCAATTAGATTTCTCTGTCATGTTAAAAAGGGCAAAGGATAATAAAATTGATTGTGAGATATTATAGTTGACCTGATGTTGATAGTGAGATCAAAACTGATATGTAGCATTAAGTTCTACCAATGAATCAACTGGGAACATAAACTGATAAACTCTATATTTCCTCACAATGGTCAATATTTATTTTACAGTAAAGTAAGGTCCTTTTGAAATTTTTGACAAGTTCTGTTAAATGTTAATTGATTTTTATAATTTATGTAACATACAATTACAATGATTAATGTTAAAAATTTGCATCATAAAATTTTTATCTTCAGAATTTAGGGTAAATTTGCACAAAGTAAGGATTCATCTAGAATAATATATTTAAAATGAAATGTGCTCATGCTTATAAACTATAGTATATTCCTTTTAATTTGTTTGGCCAATATTTCTAACAAATTTATGAATCAGATAATTTGAGTATATATTTATTATAGTTATAATAGATTACTGTAATGTATTTTGACGTGAACATATTCCAAACAGTGTTTCTCTTTTAAAATTGAAATTTCAAATTATTCATTTCATGAAAGTTGACCTAAATTGATTAGCACGTATCATTTTAACAATTCTCATTTCAATTGAAAGTTTTTTTCAATATGATCAAATTCTGGCAAAATACAGTCTGGCAGCTTTTCAATCTTAGTTTTTTGTTGTATTTATAAACAAATGTTTTCTGTTTAAAAAAAGGGAGTATTTATTTGATTAAAAGTGTTTTTATAAAATGTATTTTTTAAATCACTGGAGAATCCAGGTTGAGGGTTTGGTGATGGTCTTTCCTCAAGCCCCTAAGCTGAGGGTGTAAATTATGTACTGGTTTAGCGGATTTATTGATAAGGATGGAGGGCAACTCAAAGGACTTCCTAAGAAATGAACCGGACACGCAACACAAATCATCACTGGTAGTCTGATGGTATCAATCCACCCCATCCCCCTGAAAAAATATATATACTCTATGTATATATATATATATATATAAATATATATATATATACATACATACACATACATACATACACGTATATATATTTACATATATATATATACTACACGCAACACAAATCATCACTGGTAGTCTGATAATATCAATCCACCCCATCCCCCTAAAAAAATATATATACTCTATATATATATATATATATATAAATATATATATATATACATACATACACATACATACATACACGTATATATATTTACATATATATATATACATATATATACATATATATATATATATATGTATATATATATTATACATATATATATTATATACATATATATATATAGTACCGGTATAGTCACTTTGTTATATTTTTTAAATCATGGCCAACATAATGTATTCTGCAAGTTTAATTTTTTCTGTTCCTAAATTATTTTTTTAATGAATAACATATTTAAGCAAAAATAATAGACCACAATTGCATATTTATTTTCAACATAAAATGCCATTTTTAATATAACAAATAGCTTAATATTTTTCAGGGAAGAAATTTCAGTAACATTAATGGTTATTTCATTTATTCATCTGCAACTTTGCTTAGACATTTGAAATGGTTTAAAGGTATTCATCACACATACCAGTTAGATATAAAAACAACAAGGTTTTATTGAAAAAAATCTAATTATTAGTCAAAGAGCTTTTTCAAATACAATTAGAGTAAATTAAAAATATAAAATTAATCATCCATCTCAAAAAGAAGTTTCTCTATTCAGCACCAATATTTGATATTACATGCTAATATTTGATATTACATGCCCATGGTTTGATTTAAATAAAAAATTTAAAAAATCATTTTTGTTACAATGAAATAATATTCAACAAATAATTTAAGGGAGGAAGAAAAAATAGGATTAAGTCTCTTATTATTAATCAGCCATTAAATATACAGAATTAATTTACTACTTAGTTATTTGATTGTTAAATGGAAATTAAATGTTAGCTGAACCTGGTTTCAAACCAAGGTGATGTGTGTTGTAGGAACGATGACGACTATCCAGGCTCTCCATAATGTATAAGATAAATAATGGGCTGGTCCACTGCTCCAGCATTAAACAGAAACTTGTCCCTATTCCCCATAGACAGTGACGAGGCCATGACAGGCAATTCCGGCTCATACCGGCGAGAAGCCAGTATAGGAACTGCTCATTCCTTCCAAAGACAATCAGGGACTGGAACAAGCTTTCAAAAGGAACAGTTGAGGCGACAGCACTTGACACATTTGCGTCTCTTGCCTCAGGCCTTCCAACCCCCAGTGCATGATACCCTCACAAGTAGCCCTTGCAACCTGTGAAATATCCTCATCAACACCAGGCACAGAAACATTGCAAATCCCCCTCTACATGCATGGGAGCCAAAATGATCAATAAATTTATCGTGGGCCCTTAATATATGTAAGAAGAAGAAAGAGCAGATCCATTCCTTTGATTACAAATAGACCTCATCAACAATTATGTGTGCTCTCAAGATATTGGTAGTAAGAAATTAAAAATTTGGGGGCAGTAAACAGGCTAATAAAATGTTTAAAATGTTCAGGTTTAAAAAAAAAAATCAAATGGAATTAGGTAAAAAAAAATTTCTTACTTAGTATATATATAAAAAAAAAAAACATTTTCATAAATCAGTATGTATTCAACACCCAACATTAAAAGGTTGCATTGTTTAAAAAAATATTTTCATAAAAATATTTGAACTTAATGTTACACTGATTATTAACTTGAAATCCAAGGATAAAAACAAAAGTATTAACACATGATGATTTAGTAAACAGTATAGGTTAGCCAAATATCCTACTGAAATTATGATATATACACCAAATCCATATATTTTTAAAAAATAGAGTAATTTGGCTTTGAACTTTGATTAGGAAAATTCATTTTTATTAAACAAATATCTGTGATATCACTTGATTCACTAACAAAATAAGTATCTGATATTCAAGTTTAAAATTATACATTGGTTTCAAAAGATATTCCAGATTTTTCTGAACGTGTTGTCCCAACCGTAGCCTTGGACAAGCTTGACATCACAGATATGCGAGATGCAAACAATGACAATTTACTCTCAGCCTAATGTCAGAAGAAAAAATGAAAATATTAGGATTTAATCATTTTTTTAATTAACCCGTGAGAGAAAATTCTCATTGGTCTTAGGAAGTGGTGTAACAAACAAGATTATTGGCTTAAAGGGCTTAAGGTATTTGCACTGGTTCCAGTTCCAGGATTTACTTATCTCACTACGGCTATGGCACTGCAGCAGATCAAAGTTTCTACATCTAGAATAACCAGAATCTTATTGTTTAATATTTAATTTTTGATGTGAGGGATCATTCTAATTCTTCAAGTACTGGTTATCAATGCTGTAGCCATAGTATGTGCTGCCCTGGGTGGGTCAAAGTTTTTGACACTCCCCTTACATGAAAAAAAACTCTGCATTTGACTAAAAATACGGCCCCCTCCATAAAAAGAAAAATTTTCACCCCACTCTGCACCCCTCCTTCCTACTCCACTGCTAGTTCCTAAAAACCCCAAATGGATTCTTTAAATATAATAACTGAACATATTCTGTGTGTTTACAATTTGGCTATTTATCAGTTTTTTCTGATTTTGATAAGTACGCATTACACTGAAAGCTACAAATATATCAACCATTTTTTAAAATTTTCATTGAAAGATAAAACCTTTTATACTTGATCATAATGTCATTTTCAATAAAATTTACAATTTAAAAATGTATCTCATCTTTAAGGAGGTCACAAAAAAATAGTTTTTAATTATTTAAAAAAATTATTATGGTGCTTAAAAAGAAGACCGAAATCTTTCAATTGATAACATCACTATATACCTTAATACTCGGTTGAGGTGACTCCTGGAATGCCTTGTTGACCACGCCAGTTTTCAGTTGAAGGTTTTTAAGAGGATCCACCTGAAAGCCTTCCACATAAGTCACCAACATTCTATGCTTTTTTAAAGCTGGGCCCCAGTATATGGATGGCAAACAAAGCAATCTGATTTTCTGCAAATTAGAAATAGGGTTTTTTGTTTTGTTCTCACTAGCAATTGAGTCTTGTCCTGACGTTTTATTCCTCAGTTTATTTGATACTCATTTATTTTGATATATCTCATGAAAAATCGGAGACACAACATTCAATGTGCACTTTCCTGATTTTTTACACCATCATACAAGGAACAACATTTTATATTTTCAAAACTTTGCACTAATCATCACAGAAACATCTCAAATGAATTTTGAAACAACCAATATTTGATGAATACTGATAGTTGACATTAAGTAATTTGGGCATTGAAAAATACAAATTTTTTGTTGTGGAATTTTTTTTTACTTGAGAAAAAATAGCTACCGGTATTCATTTTAATGCCTGCACCCACCTGCCACAGGCTGTCTTCATCCCTCTCCTTGCAAATCTTGTATAGCATGATTGCTGGTATAGCTAGAACTGCTGTCAGAGTCATCAGCCACCCCATAGCATCAGCCCAGCCTGGATAAGTGTACTTATCATAAGTAGATGCTTTGTAGTCAATGAACATGAAGATGAATATAAACTGAAAAATTTTTCATACAAAACAATTAGTTTATCTCATTTACCAACGCCTTCATTCTTCTAATGAAATGCTAAATAATTTTGTTATAGCTTCTAGCACTTTAAAAATCTAAGCACATCTATATTAATATTACAAACTGACAGATACAAAATAAATAAAATTATTTAACGTTTTACGTTAAGAGTTTTAATTTTTTTAAAGAATAGTCAGCACTATTGAAATTAAATAGTTCAAGGTGGCCTATAATCTTAATAATTGATGGAAAATTAATTTCTTGGTAGTTATTAAATTTTCTGATAATCAGTTATGTTTAAATACCATTATTTTAAGATTTTAGGCTGCTGATAAGTTTAACCTTGTTTTAAAAAAAAAACTTGTTCTTTCAAAATTCTGAACGTAGGGCACACCCCTATTTAAAGACTTACATTAGGGGGAAAAGTGTAGCCAATACTCTGAACAATATGGTAATTGATTTAGGTTTAAGCCCAGAGAATGTTAATAATAGAAATACAATTAAGTTTAATTTGTTTTTTTAAAAAACAACATCTATTTCAATAATTCCTTACAGCAATAGTGACAGGACTGATAACACACCACGTCGCTTGCCAATATAAAAATATTGTGCTGCCAGTCATTAGCTGTATGTCTTTACAAAATCTTCTAACACCTGAAGTAGATATGTGATATTATCATGCGAAGGTATGGTAATAATAATATGAGGGGAAGTAAACATAAATTTAGTTATATTCATTATTTTTAGTGATTTATTAAAGTTAAAAATAATTAATATAAAAGGTAAAAATAAAAGCAGTAAATTGACTCACCATAGATATAAATTAATGAAACCAACTCAAAAAAGGCAATTATAATAAGTGTTAAGCCTCCAACATAGTTGTCCATGAGCTGCAGTAAGTACATACCTCCCTGAATAAAAATGATTTATTTTCAATGGATAGTTTGGGGGAACTAGAGTTGGGGGGGGGGGGGGGCATTTTTTTTAAAGAAATGTGAAAACAGAAAAAAAATTAACATAATATTTTTTTTTTATTTTAAAAATAAAAAAAAAAAAAAAAAAAAAAAAAAATAAAAAAAAATGGGGGGGGGGGGGGGGGGGGCATGTTTTTTAAAGGAATGTGTAAACAGGTAAAATATTGTCCTAATATTTTGTTTTTATGTTTAAAATCCAGAAGAAAAAAAAACAAACAATAATTTAATAAAAATACTCACAGGACATGTTAATGGAAGCCCCAATATAAAGAGAAACACGCAGATGGAGAGGATTACCATCACCTTCTTTGGTCTTAACCAAGGAAACTGATCAATGATCCCAGTCATAATAGTTTCCAACATGGCAAACTGAATGGACAGATCATTATTTTAATAAAATATTAAATAAGAAAGAGCCTAACTTTTGATATAAAACTTTTTTAGTCAAATTTAAACCCTTTTCTGATTTCAATTTTTATGTTAAATTCAACTGAAATTTTAGTCTTTTAATTTAATACTCTTAGCCACAAATTTTGGGCTTAAAAATAAATATGTCTATGCTTCAGAACAATTATTTTACAGTTGTCTTTTTAACATATAGTTTGTCTGTCAAAAAAAATCCTTGATTTTTCTCAAGTTTTTCAAAATATACCTGGGAATCTAATCCTAGAGTTAATAACATAACAAAGAAGAGCAATGCCCATAACGTTGGTGGGGGCAAATTCGAAATGGCTTCTGGGTAAACAACAAAAGCAAGGCCAGCACCTGTGGATATTATTTTTTTTTAAAATTAATTTTCAAACATCGTATTAGCATTTTAACTTTTTAATTACACACTTACGAATATTCAAATTATTTCTTTCACTAATACCCAGATTTGATACCTTAACTCATAAGCATTTTTTTTTTATATACCAGCACAAACACATGTTTATATATCTCTTAAATTGTAATGTTGTCAAGGCTTTAAAACCTAACACCTTAAACAAGCTGGTATAAAGTTTATAATATTACCCCAATATATACAGCAATTGACAGATATTTACCATCAGCTGCCACTTCTTCAATGCCCACTTCCAGCTGACCAGCCATGTACCCCAAGTAAGAGAAAATAACAAAACCACTCAGAATGCAGGTCAAGGAGTCACCAACAGCAACAATTACAGAATCTCTGTGGATGAGAATGAAACATATTACTTTTTATTATAAAACAGCGTATGTAACACTAGAACTTAAATTATTTTTTTTAAATACTTTTAATATTTGAACTTTGAGTGATGTGTCACTAACTACAGTTTCTATTTTTTATCACTAGTTAGTTTGGGACTGATAATATGTGGGTAATACATTTTTTTGATGCTGTTTGGATTCTTTCCGTGATGCCATATTTCTAATTAAATGTGCACAAAGTACTTACCTAACAATATTATTGTGAAACCTGTTGTAACTTGACAGCGTTATAAGTCCTCCTCCAGCTATTCCCATTGAGAAGAAAATTTGGTTGGCAGCGTCTTTCCAAACCTTGCAAGAGAATAATTTAAATACCATTAAATTATGCTAAAATTAATGCAAAAAGTGTGTTTAAGTAGTTTTGCAAATAGATGAAAATGTCCTTATTAAAAGATATATGAAACAGTTGTATTTTATTTCATTTTTAAAAAAACATAATAATTTGTAGACACTTATCTCATTCCAAAAACAATTGCACTACTTGGGTCCAAATAATGAATAAGATGAATGATTTAGATCACACACAAAATAATTTTCATGCCAATCATATTACAATATTGATTTAATTTTGAATTTTAATTTTATACAATAAAAATATCAGAGGTAAAGAAAATTAAATTGTCTACACATTGTATTTACTTATACATACTTACATTAGCATCACCAAGCCTGTCAAATACTGGAGTAATGAAATAGTAAATTCCAACAGATGCATTTTCTAGAGTTACCCCCCTGAAGAACAGGATGACTAAAACAACATAAGGAAACAATGCTGTGAAGTATACAACCTGAAACAAGGACAAAAAGTATCAACAGTGCATTATTTTTATTATAAAGTTTTAATTGATTTATAACAAAATATATTTTTTAAGAAAATGATTACCAAATCATTATGAATCAACAGACAGAAACCAAGGGGCAAGATGGCCCACCTGTTGAACAAGACTGAGATGGATTGGCGATGACGAGAAGGACTTACATCAGATTCAAAATCGTCCACACATGAAGGTGAAAAGTCATGGATTGGTCAAAATAAAAGGATTTTTGAGGAGCAGGCCAGGGCCCTAAATGGGCTGTAGAACCACTGATGATGATGATGACATCGACTATGGTGTGCTATGACCTGCACCTCACATCAATTCTGTTTGATCCACGCCGTTTTGTCTCAATGCATGGATCCACACCTGGTGCAGATCTGACTACTGGTCCTATTATAGTAAGGTATAGCCTTCCATTTGTTTTTCTTAAGTGGTATCTGCTGCCTAGTAACTTTTTTAAGCTAAAACATGCCTAGAAAGGATCATCTAACATATCTTTTAATGTTGACAGGAAACTAAGTTATATCTCATTTGTGTCCCATACCTACCTTGCCAGTACTTTTAATGCCTTTAATTAAACAAAAGAAACAAATGATCCAAGCTAACAGCAGACACAAGACCAAATCCCATTTGGGTTGTCCAAAATTTTGGATGCCATCACTAAATCCTAACACAGATCTGAGGATAATATATTCCAAATGAATATCCATAACTCCAATTTTTAAATTGAAAAAAATTAACATTGAATAATCAACAAGAATGTAGAAAAAGGCCGTTTTCACTTTGGGTAAAAACTATGTTACATTATTTTGGTTAAAATAAACAATTTTTAAAACAATAATTAGGCCTCAGTCTCAATAACTTTATTATTCTTTAATTAATTCCTTACACTAGGAAAGTCATTTCTGTCCATTTAAAAAAAGCAACTATGACTATAACTCTAGAAATACATGTGAAAAAATTGGGGTCCAACCCACAACATTCACTTTTCCCCAAGAATCGTTCAAAGAAGATATCCAAAAATCCATTACAAAGAGTATATCTACATACAATATGTATTAAAGTTTATAGTTCTTATATTTGTTATGGATCTGTGATGAGGTACCATAGACTCTGATCTATGCTAAGATAATGGTCTTGTTAATTTATGCTTGATTTGTTATTTTAGCTGAACATTTTTCAACATGTTACATGTATATTGATGATCAGTCAAGATTTGATAATTACATCTGTTGTCTTTTCAAATTTCAACTCTCCAGGATAAGCAGAACATTTATTGCTCCAATAAATTCAAACAAATGGACTTATTCATAACTAGTTAAATAAAAATGTTTGAAATGGAAATTAATTTTACAGTACCAATATCAACTTACTCTTCCCAATATTCTTGAGCTGGAGACTTAAGCTTTCTCCCTGTTGACTCAGAAAATATAGTCTTATTCCAAACTCCAATTTCTTTACCATTGTCATCTTTACAAAGCCCATCTTCAGCTTGACTGTCCCCTTTACAGCTCATTATTGGGAGTTTAAGTTTGCAGTCTGTGTCATTTTAATAGAAATTTGTGTTAGTTGAAAATGTAAACCAGAGCATTTTGAATTTATTTTTATGTATAAATGAATAAATACTAGTTAACACATTATCATTAGTAACTTAAAATACCAATATAAGTTAAGATAAAATAAAAATTAATTTATAGGAAAATCTAATTTTTAATGCATAATTTACCATCCACACTGTGTTATTTAATTCCATTTCACTTGTAGTAAAGCCTTGATTTAGAGGTTACAACACATCAATTTTTGTATAGTCATATGAGTATGAGAAATTCTGTTTCATAAGTAATTCTGACCCATTCCCCTCAAGTATAGAAATGTATTAGCACAAATATTCATTAAATTTCTATTTTTATTAATGAATAACAAAATCTTGTGACACACCTGCTGACCTGTGCAGCTGTTTTAAAAAAAAAAAAGCTGCTGTGGGAAAATTTTTCAGTAATATTTTTTTCTTTCTTTCAGTTACTGTTTATTCTTTAATTATTAACCAATGAGAAAATGCCGATAAATTTTATTCTTAATTAGTCAATTTTTATTTGTAAAAACTTTGAGCAGAAATCTACACATATTTTTTACCCTGGGTGTTCCATTCATTATCGCAGTTTAAGAAAGGTAAGTCACTCGTGAAGGAAGCAAACATGTAACGCAATGCCCAGCTCAGTAGCATGTTGTAGTAGATGGCGGTAAATGAGGAACAAATCACCATGGCAACACCAACTCCTATCAAAAATATAAATTTGAAGAGTGTGTAAATTTATAAATGAGATTAGTTTAAACGGCATTTTTTATAAGAGACCCCTTAAAGTTTGTCTGCATTCAAACCAAAGAATGCGAATTACATTACTTTTTAAAAATAAAAACATGGCCTACTTACACTTACGCCAAGCTTATTTTGTTTTTTTTTTAGTATGTTTTGTTACTGATTTAAATTTAAAAGAGATCACTAAGAAAGAAAAAAATCAAGCTTTTTAGTCTTGCCTTTAAAAAATGGAGCGTATTCCCAGCATGTTGTGGCACCACGGCTGGTGAACTGACCAAGTGCAGCTTCCAAGAAAAACAAAGGGAGACCAATCATAAACATCATAAGAATAAAGGGAAACAAAAAAGCTCCTCCTCCATTTCGATAACATAGATAAGGAAACCTGAAAAAGATTTGTAACAGTCATTTTTTTTAAAATTGTACACACATCACTCACGAGAAAGAAATAGACAGGGTGAGAGAGGGATACAAGGAGAGAGGGAGATAGAATGAGAGGATGAGAAAGAGAGGCTGGGAAAGATATAATGACAGAAAGGTACTGAGAAAGGGGGTGACTGAGAAAAACAGATTGTTTTTACAAATGCAAGCGGAAAAGAATAAAAACATAAAAATATGTCAATGTCGTAAGATAAGTTAAAACTTACCACCAAACAACCCCTAGGCCTACATCGTAACTCATAAATTTCCTTGGCTTACAACTTACCTCCAAAAATTCTCGAAGCCTACAACTTACCTCAAAACATTCTCTAAGCCTACAACGTACCTCCAAATATAATCTAAGCCTACAACTTACCTCCAAACATTCCCTAAGCTTAAAACTTACCTCTCAACATTCTCTAAGCCTACAACTTTATCTAAGCCTACTACTTACATCCAAACATTTACTTTGTCTGCAAATTATTAACTCCCAACATTCTCTAAACCTACAACTTACCTCCAAACATAATCTAAGCCTACAAATTACCTCCAAAAAATCCCTTGGTCTGCAACTTACCTCCCAACATTCTCTAAGCCTGCAACTTACCTCAAAACATTCTCTAATCCTCCACAATATACTTAAACATATTCTAAGCCTACAAATTACCTCAAAAAATTCCCTAAACCTATAACTTACCTTCAAACATCTCATTGGTCTACAACTTACCTCGCAACATTCGCTAAGCCTGCAACTCACCTCCAAACATTCTCTAAGCCTACAACTTATCTCCAAACATTCCCTAAGCCTACAACTTACCTCCAAAAATTTACTTGGTCTGCAACTTACCTCCAAAAATTCTCTAAATCTACAACTTTTCTCCAAACATTGCCTAAACCTACAACTTACCTCCAAACATTTCCTTGGTCTACAACTTACCTCCAAACATTCTTTAAGCCTACAACTTACCTCCAAACATTCCCTAGACCTACAGCGTAACCAAGCAAAGAGAGAATAAAGTCAAACTTTCCCGACCAGTTACCCCTCTCTTCATTCTCGTCCTGGCCGTAGATAAGTTTCTTCTCATCCGACGTGTCCTCGTTTAATGCCGAACCCTGTTAGAATAATGGTAGATGTTAAAATTTGTTAACATACATGTTAGAATAATGGTAGATGTTAAAATTTGTTAACATACATGTTAGAATAATGGTAGATGTTAAAATTTGTTAACATACATGTTAGAATAATGGTAGCTGTTAAAATTTGTTAACATACATGTTAGAGTAATGGTAGATGTTAAATATAGTTTTACATACATGTTAGAATAATGGTAGATTATTGTGTTACATACATGTTAGAATCGTTATGATCAAAAAAGAACAATGGCTTTCTCCCCGGAAAATATCGACTGAAGAATGACGTCACAAAATAAAATTTTAAGATCGTGTTTGTTCAGTGAGAAAGACTTTATTAATCCCCCAACCCACCCCCTACCCCCGCCCCTAAACCATCAAAAAAAATGTCTCTGTGTCAGGGACTGGTCAAGTAATTCAGAACAGACGTGATACTGATCAAATGTTCGATGTTACATAAAGTAATCATTGTGTTCTCTATGAAAAGTGTCTAGTGTTCATTAGGGGGGGTGTGGGGGTGGAGGGTTTGTTTATTACCAATTCTCAGAAAATGCAATAAGACCGGTTGTGAAAGCTATGATGCTGTGTGTAAACCACGATAACACTTTTTTAAATGAATCATTTGCCGTTAACAGCTGCAGTTAACTTTTCGAAACAATTAAATAAATAAAATGATTAGATGCAACGTGTAGGCGATATATTATTACTTAAAGATTAGTTTTAATGAATGCGGTTGTATTGGATAATGGCGAGAATTCAAGGTATTCCCACAATTATTATGTGTGATGAATATGTGGAAAAATTTGTTTTTTCCCGAAAACATTGTGCAACCGAACCTGTGTTCTTCCTCTTAGCTCTTACTGTGCAACAGAAACTTTGTCCTTGCCCTTGGCGCTTACTGATCACATTCCAGCAAGAAATTGTATTCCAGCAAGACATTGTATTCCAGCAAGACATTGTATTCCAGCAAGACATTTTATTCCAGCTAGACATTGTATTCCAGCAAGACATTTTATTCCAGCTAGACATTGTATTCCAGCAAGACAGTATATGCAAAAGTTAGCGCTAACAGGTCTTAAGTATGCCTTACGGCCTTTGTTGATATTACTAACATCATATATTTAATGCTGGACTTATGTAATCCTTTCTCCATCCCATCCCCCCTTTCCCTCCCCTCCACGATGGCATTATTAGGGTATATGAAGTCAAATGTTGTCTTCTGACACCTAAAACGTAAGCATATTTTAATTTATTACCGGTATATTAAAATTCATAAGTAGTTGTACTTTTGTGACGTACGTAGGTGACCATTAAAAAAATATTGTAAAATTATATTATTATGTATTTATTAAAATGTAACAAAAATAAATTTAAACAAAGTGACATGTTTTCCAGCACACTAACGCACTTTGGCGTTGAGTTTGTTTGTATATATATATATATATATATATATATATATATATATATATATATTAATATTTATATCTTGAACAAACACCCGAGACGACTATTCCTAAAATTGCTAAAATCAGAAAACGTGTAAAAAAAATAAAAAAATATTGTGTATATATATATATATATATATATATATATATATATATATATATATTAATATTTATGTCTTGAACAAGCACCCGAGACGACTATTCCTAAAATTGCTAAAATCAGAAAACGTGTAAAAAAAATAAAAAAATAAAAAATATGCTAATTTCATTTAAACCATTTTCAGGGCTTAGAACCCACCCATCTTAGTCATCTTTCAGTGCATGCTACTCACCTGGGACGAAAAAGGTGTTTTATCCCGGCTCTTTGAGTGGTGGGGTGGAGCACGAGACGGCTTGCCTGCGCCGAAATCCAGAGTAACATATCCATTGCTGTCACTCTTCAGCGTGTCCAACGTACCGTTTCGATTACTATTCTCCTTTGGTCTCTGTGGTCTGCTCTCTTCCGGAAAATCGAAACCTTGGTAATTTGGTGCGTACGATTCATAGGTGTTATACTTGGACGAGGCCTTCGTGTTCCTCTTTATGGAGTCTTTGGGGTCTTCGTAAGATTTTATGCGGGGTAGGGAAAGATCTCTGGGGGGATTGTTTTTTGCATCATCTTGCGGAGGATTTCTCAGTTTGACATCTCTCTCTAAGCTGTCCCACGGGTCATCATAGCTTTGCACGGGTGGAGATGTATCCGCGGCAGGTTTTTCTGGAGTCGTTCTATTATTTTCACCCTTACTTGCAGGTTTTTCATCGCTGTTTCCGGGTGGTCCGTTTTTTGACCGCGGATATCTTGCGCTCTGTGGCGACCATTCTCTGTAGTCGTCGCCAGAGGGAGAAGGATTTTTTGAGCGTCCATTGTCATATGGTGATAGATTTTTACCACGGGGATCACGATCATATGGAGATCGTCTTCTGTCAGGTGAAGATCTTCTGTAAGGTGGAGATCGTCTTTCATCAGGTGGAGACCTTCTTCTGTCAGGTGGAGATCGTCTTCTGTCAGGTGGAGACCTTCTTCTGTCAGGTGGAGACCTTCTTCTGTGAGGTGGAGATCGTCTTCTGTCAGGTGGAGACCTTCTTCTGTCAGGAGGAGAGCGTCTTCTATCAGGCGGAGAGCGTCTTCTATCAGGCGGAGACCTTCTTCTGTCAGGTGGAGACCGTCTTCTATCAGGTGGGGACCTTCTGTCAGGTGGAGACCTTCTGTCAGGTGGGGACCTTCTATCAGGTGGGGACCTTCTGTCAGGTGGAGACTGTCTTCTGTAAGGTGGAGATCTCCTGTAAGGTGGGGACCTTCTGTCAGGTGGAGACCTTCTTCGGTCTCGAGGAGACTGTCTTCTGTCACCTTCAGAAGAAGGAGACCTGCTGCGGTCCCCACGCCGTAAAGGCGGTGGAGATCGATCCAGTGGAGAATATCCTCTTTCGGAACTCCTGTTAGAGCCTCTTGACCTGCGGTCATCTTGGTTGCGGCCGCGAGTAGGGCTGTGTTCTATACTTTCATATGATTTGTCAAAATCTTCGTCAATATCATCGTAGTTTTGATAATGCGAGTCGTCTGCTGTGTGATTTTTCTCGTCAACGACTTTAAGGTCGGCACCCTATGTGAAGAAGGAAAAGAAATAATGGACATTTTGTAGGAACATTTCATTATCATTGAAAAAAATATCATAGAATTTGAGCGACATTTGTAATCTGTTTAGGAAAACATTCTTAAACTGTTAGATAGATCAAGAGAGTTCTATTCTGGGTATTTGAACAGTTGTAAACTAACCATTATATTGTCCAAACTACACAACTGAACGATTGCCTTGTGCACTCTCAGCTAATGATGTAGTTAACTTTACAATCAAAAACCAGGGCTGGATAATAGATTATTAAGAGAACTGGACGTTTCGCAAAAGCTATTTAAAAAAAATGCACTTTTGGTTGTAACGAATTTGCTGTTTTTTTTTTCTCTCAATACCAGTAAGTAATTTATTAATTTCCGGGACGAGGGGGGGGGGTGGTCATCAGACACTCTTAAAACGATGTTGCGGGTTCCAATGCCCTAAGTAGTGACCTTCCAAAGCCAACTGTGTAAAAAATCAGGATATGACATAATATAAATAGAGAGGAAATGGATGTCTCTTGTCCCCCTTCCTATTCGTCCTCGCCATTGAGTGGATAATGAAAAAATCCAGACAAAAAGAGGAACAGGATGCAACTGAATGACCTAGACTTTGCAGACGACATTGCACTTCTGTCCCAAAACCAGCAACAAATGCAGGAAAAGACAGAAGACGTAGCCACAATTTCAGCACAGATCAGACTCAATATAAAAAAAAAAGCAAAGCAAAGATCATGAAGGTAAACTCAGCCAACCAAGAGCAAATCGCTCTTGCAGGAAAGGCACTGGAAGAAGTGGAGTCCTTCACATACTTAGGCAGCACCATAGACACAAATGGCGGATCCGACGCGGATGTAAGGGCTAAAGTTGGGAAAAGCTAGATCAGCATTTATAATTTAAAAGAAAATACGGGAGTCGAAGGAGTTGAAGCTGAAAACCAAAGTCAAAATCTTTAAAACAAATGTCAAAACAGTCATACTATAAGGAGCAGAAACTTGGAAATCAAAGATGAGGATTACGCAGAAAGTACAGACCTTCATAAACACATGTCTTATAAAGATCCTAAACATCAAATTTCCTAATAGGATCACCAACAAAGATCTACTAGAAAGGACTTACCAGGTGCCCATTGATGAATACATCATACAAAAAATATGGAGGTGGATAGGGCATACTCTCCGCAAACCCCGAGATAACATCACCAGACGATCCCTAACATGGAATCCACAGGGGAAAAAGAAAGAGAGGAAGGCCAAAGAATACATGGAGACGCGAGCTAGAGGCAGGACCAAAAATATAGGATACACGTGGAAACAACAGAAAAGGAAAGCGCAGGACCCTGATGAATAGAACATGTGTGTGGACGGCGTAAGACCCAGACGGAATACAAAAAAAGTGCATAAGCACACCTCTAGATTTCCATAGCCCAGGTCAACCACCTCATTGTATTGCTTATCCTGACTTATCCGCATTTTTTTAAAAAGTCCCTTGAGCAGTAAGAAGTTTATGCATAGAATGTTTTCTTGAAAGGCCATTAGAGTGTAATTATGGACTAATTGAGTTTCCATCTGTTGGGTATGTCACGGCGGAAATTTTCTTCTAATGTTATTGAATTTTTAGTTCGTAATTTCTATTTTTAAAAGATGAAAAGATAATTTTTAGATAATTTAACTTTAAAAAACTATTTTTAATGTGTTTATGTGTGTCCACCCCCCCCCCCAAATTTCATTATAATAAATTTTAAATATCCTTTTATTAGGGTAGTTTCTCAAAAAAAAAAAAAAAATATTTTTAGTTCGTAATTTTTATTTTTAAAAGATGAAAAGATAATTTTTAGATAATTTAACTTTAAAAAACTATTTTTAATGTGTTTATGTGTGTCCCCCCCCCCCCCAAATTTCATTATAATAAATTTTAAATAGCCTTTTATTAGGGTAGGTCCTCAAAAAAAAAAAAAAAATTGCACATCGTCCATTAAAATATTATTCAACACATGTTGCCAAATATACGACACTTCGACGGCAACGCTTGTAAAATAGGTAAACCTCCATTTATTTTTAGACTGAATGGAAAGTTTTGAAAAAATCCCCTCGTTCAGTTGGCGTTCCACTTCGATAAGATCTTTTTTTTTAAACTGTTTATTGAATGTATGCTTATTATGTTGTAGAGCTGGGGTGGGGGGGGGGGCAAAGAATCCTCACCAAAGCCCAGTCAAGCAAAAACATCACCAGCACACCGGGTGGATGGCACGCGTTAAACTTGGATGGTAACCCAGCCAAGAGAAGGAGACTCTGAAGTCAAACCCAGAGTTGGAGTCCCGTAGGCGGATAACATTGGGACAATGAAACATTCCGAAAATGGCTGCGACACCACTGGTGCCAAGGTGTATCCTCCACATATGATGTTCCCCCTTGGGTTATTCGGCGGCTTTGGGGAGCGGCGGTTTGCTGTATACGTGTAGGAGCCGGCTTAAAATCCTAGAAATAATAATCTCAGGTCTTGTGGATTTCGCCATGCGAAGTCTACACCATTGTCACATTGTGACGGACGAATGCCAGCAATATTTAGATATCGTGTTAAAACCCGGAACATAACCCAACAGTGATTAAATTTAAATGTAAAAGGGGGCATAATTCCGTTTCCCTTACCTGTACAGAGTTGCTTCCTCGCGGCTCTGTACCGCCTTTTAGTCTCATCCCGAGGCGAATCTGGTTGACGTCATATCCAACCCATTCATTTGATAAAGTTAATCCTGTGTTTGTTCGTATACTTAACTATCACTACCGGATGGCAGAGATCAGGGACTTGTGATTATTAAAAAAAAAAAATTCTTTCCAAAAACCTCAACATAGTAAGAAGTGAAATAAGATAAAAAGCGTTGGTCAGTATTTAAAAAAAACAAACAAACACTGTCTTATACTATAACTTATGATAAAGAAATATACTTTCACTACGAAAAAAAAGTGTTTTTTTTTTTTTTAAAAGGATAGATGAAATATTCTTTGCTCAAAACAAAATACTGTTTGAATATTCGGGTCAAGACGATCACTGTGAAAACGAATTGAGAAATACATTTTTATTATTATTTATCATGACTTATAAATGTACGTTATATTAATTGTTAAAATTTTAACTTAAACTTTCCGATCACGTATAAAAAGGTGTGTGTGTGGGGGGGGGGTGTTGTTGTTGGTGGTGGGTGAAATATGGCGTTTAATTTGTCTAACCTTTTCAAGTTTGCCAATCTCATTTCCTCTTTCACTCTCACACATCTACCAAATTTTTGTTATTGATCTCAGATCTGTTTCATTTTCATTTGTGGAACCAACCAACAACTACCAATAACGCCATAACCTTAAAATGTTGACGTTGCCAGATCGCATCATAATAACAACATATAATAATTAATTATACGTTTGAAAACTATTCAAAACGTGTAATAAAAAGAAAAAAAAAAGAAACAAACAACTTTAATACGATAATACGACAGTATGTGAATGTGAATTTGTGGACACAACTAACTGCGGACAATAACTGGTGAGGGTGATACAGACTCCCCAAATCGACACCTACAGACCGAGTTAAGCTGGCAAGTAACAGTTTTTACCCCCTTATATATATCAATGATTTTTTTCAGAAATTTTCCCTTGATTTATTGTTGGACATATTTTTGCTCCGGGGGGCACTTGGCTTTCCTGGGGGGGGGCGGGGGGGGCAATGCCCCCCTCCCAGAGATATAGCTTAAAGAAACCCTGATATATGTATATATATATATTCCATTTAATGCATATTAGCTGTGTTGCTCACGGTTGAAATGGGTTGAAAGACTTTGACATTGTATGCTTGTAATTAGTTTTTGTAGTGTTGCGTTTGTTTTAAATGTGGTAAATTATAGATTTGTTTTTTGTTGACTTTGTACCGCGCTTCGAGCCTTTGGGGATGAAGCGTGTTTTTGAAATGAACTTTATTATTATTATTATTATATGGCCTCACCTTGTTAAACTGCATAGATGTTTTGTCTGAAATACATTCCTATGCAGTCCACACCCGGTGTTGTACAAATAAGACAAAATAGAGTTAGCTTCTGAACAGGCTAAATTTAGGAGCTGTAACCACTTTATAGATTGAATACTTACCAATTTAGGTCTACATCAAAGACGATATAATTAATAATTTTATAAATGCACACATACATCCGTAAGAATCGCAAGATCCATCAAGTCAAGATAGAATAGTGTGTCAATAGGCCTACCGAATAGGTCTAAGAATTAACATGTCCAATCATTTCAACTTATGGAGCATCCTTTCTCTGTCATTTAATTGTGTGTAATGCCCTTGTTTAAAGCAAATCACACACACACACACAGAGCGAGACACACACGACGGCCTTTAAAATAAGAACATTTGTCAATAGCACAGACGACCCAGTGCATTCCTGCTACCCCCCCCCCCCCCCCCCCCCCCCCCCCCCCCCCCCCCCCCCCCGATCATTGGGCCTACACACTAGTTCCCACAGGTAGTCATCGCCAACTGTAGCGTGACGATCTGGACTCGGTCGCAAAGGTGGGACTCCGTC